AAGGAGGGGGCTTTGTAGAAAACGAAGCGTTTGAGAGAGGCGGGGCATAGAGGACCTACAATAATGTACAGTATTTGAAAAATAATGCGTTTTTTGAACATTAAAGCATGTCAACATATTCTGTTACACCAAATACACAAAATAATGATCTTTAAAAAAGCATCATATGACCCCTTTAATGCTTTTTTTAGCCTATCCAGTTAAACCCACTGGATTCAAAATATCACAGAAAAAGAGAACATCAATGCGGAGAAGATGTTGTTTACATCAAAACTGAAACCAAGCCATTCACACAGAACACATATTTATCGCATTTTCTAGAGGAACATCTATCACCTTTGCACTCGCGTCTCGCACAAGAGAGCCGAATGTTTTGAAAGCCATGTAAAATTAATGTAAGTTCAACTTTTAAAAAACATGTCTCGAAACTTTATGGTGTTTTTTTTGCATCCCACTGCAACTCGTGTTTTTAAATGAAAAAAGTGCTCTTTTGTTTCCGGTCCTTAGTATTAAACTATACATACGTGCATGATGCTTTTTGTTTCTAATTGTTTAAGCAACGTAATTAATTATAGAAGCATTATTTTAAACATTATGCACTTTTTTAAAAGATCGTTCGTGTTATTTTATTGCTTTGAAGAAACGTGCATTAGTAATATTTTGCTCGATGCGCCCTCTTGTGGCCTTATGAGAGAAGCCAAAAGCTTTGCCCCTAACAGAAATTATGCCTTTTAAAATCGAATATTGATGATATTTTAGTACAAAAATCGAATTTCGTTTTTCGGCCAATTTGACAGCCCTAATAAACGCATCTCCGAATGCACCTTTCTCGTCTGAGTCAGAGTCGGAATCCACCAGGCTCTCGTCGCTGTCGAACTCTTCCTCCTCCCTGGTCTCCTCTTCCTCCTCCTCCTCCTCCTCCTCCTCATCACAGCCGCTCTCACCGGGATCATCTTCCTGAAGAGGATACATGCCATCCTGCACAGAGAGATCAAACCTTAAGACTGTCTTTTGTACTCAACAAACCACAAAAAATAATGATATACCATTTAAAATCTTTGGTAATACTTTACTTAAAGCCTTTATGTATAATACATTATAAAGAGTTGTTAAAGGTGTAACATTATTCATAATGTGCATTGTAATACATTACATCTTGACGTAAATGATAATAATAACCGAATTTAAAATGCATAGTGTAACAATGAATTGATAAGTGTTATAATGTATTAACTGTGGTTACAATTATTCATGAGATTGTTCAAAGCATTATAAGACAAAACTACTTTTATAATGCATTACACATAA